TGATGGATCATGTTTGAAAATTAATGAGTACAACTCGATATTTCCGACGTGCCTTTTTTCATTACATCATTTCGTAATGCCCAGTGCCTCGGTTCTCAATATGCATGTATACACATAGCGCAAAAACAAGATGAGCGTTTCGGTAACCATGCCTCAGAACAACACAGAGCCCGTATTCTGCGTTACAATCAGAATAGATCAGTGAGCACCATTAGTGCGCAGCAACGGTTTCTTATACGGACAGAACAATGGGGACACCAATGTAACTCGTAATACCTACCGATTCGGGCCAGTAGTCGGCATGATGGTCGCAGAACGAGAGGTGGTGGTCGATTACCGCTGTGACTACCAGAAGAACAAGATCTGGGGATTATGCTGAACAACTCCAGTTGACAGGTCGGTACCAGACCTTGATCACACGACTTATCATGTACCGAGAGCAACATACATCCTACGAGTTGACCGTCAGAGTAGTCAACAACAACTGATAGTCTGTCCGACTCGGGAACTTCTGTCCTTGGTTCTGATAGAAAAGGGGAAGAAAGAAGGGATGGCAATCCTTCCAGTGAGGTTCGAGGTGACGGCGGCGGCAAGAGACGCTGGATATGATCACTGCATACAACTTTCGACTGAGGAGGGAAGGGGAGCGGTGAATTTTCACTGGACGTATGAGACCGCTGGGGATTCTCGGCCACAATCAGTGGTTGTGGGAGAACTTCGGGCAAGCCAATGGTAGACTCTGAAGTTTTTGAATGCAGACGTGTTCGAGAGTGGGGCGGCCGCCGTCCGCGACGCGTTGCGGGGATTAAACGATCATAACAAGAAGAAGGCAGAGTCTGGAGAGGTGCAGAAACCTTTAATGAGTTAGTTTGGGCTTGACTAGAACCAGTGTTCACTCCTTCATCCTAGATGGAAAAAGGTAACAAATAAGGGTCTTTAGGCTTATATTGAATTCAAGGGACTCGTAATTTCCGTTTAAAGGGGGAGATAGAGTAGCTCACCTATTTTATGAAATGTCAACCTAACGGCTGAAATGCGCTTTCGGTTAGAAAATATTACTTAGGTGGGGTTGCACTATTGACTATCATCCAACATTTTAGTCACGCAAGCTTTTGACTGAACTCCTTTCCGGTTGCCTGCAAATATTACACTCAGTAAAAACTGCTAATCAAGTTCTAGGAATTTTTTTCGCATAGATCATCCACGCCCTTATAAATTAAAGTACATTTTATAGAAAAACACAGAAAATATGTAGTTTTGTCAACAAATCACTTTTTAAAATTAATATTGCACCCGACTTACAGTTGCATTTCCACGTATGGCTTACGACGATGTATACTTTTCATGCAAAGAAAAATCATAATTGCTCATAATTATTAAGAGGTCAAATAGCGTTCGGAAATTTTTGCAATGGATTTAGGGCCTGGTGTATACCTTATAATAAGCATCAATGAACTACCATTACAATGCTGCATGAATGAACTTTTCACGGTCTTAAAGCATCCAGACATTAGAATCTTTCGGTAAGCCAAAAACAAAATTTAGATGCAACATTTGCTACCACATGAGTGCAAAATACACATTTGCAATAAGATATGTTTGAAGTTATAAAAGGGTCAAAAATCAATACAAAAAATAATACTATGTATGTAGTCTTTTTTGACTGTAACTTTTATAGGCGGCCAAAGGAAATTCATTCAAATGCCGGCATTATGGCGCGACCGAAATATATTGAGGTTGTGCTATAAAATCATTAACATTATAACCATACTTAAGTAGTTTTTTAAAAGTAAAACACTTAGAATTTGTTGGCTAAAATCCCACGCGATAAGTCAGCTACTCTGAATATGGCAACTCACAGTCTGCAACAGTTGCCACACACCTGAAGGGTCAGTATGGCTAAGGGTTGAGATAGAGTTTTCCCAGGAGATTCTGGAGGCAGGAGGTATAAGGTTATTTCGTAGATGGTTCTGACCAGGTTCATCGCAGGTAGAGAGACTGGAGATGCTGACAACTACCGGAAGTCTTCTCTCGGTCGGATCGCCACAATTTTTAGTGGGGGCCCATGACCGTCCAGAAGACGAGACGCATATACTCTGTTCCGACGAAGGGGAGGAATTCGTGAATGGAGAGGAGCGCATGACGGTTGTAGAAGGTAGAAGAGGGTCGACAGACTGGGACAGAAGCACGGGTGAGTTTTCGAAGGGCAAATGTGATTCAAGAGGAGGTGGAGGCGGTAGAATGAAAGACGCACACGACGGTCGCAGACCCGAAAGAAAATCCGGAGCTGGAATCAGGCGTGGCAGCTGGGGAAGAGGAATCGCACCACAGGGATCTTCGGACTTTTGCCGCAAAAAGTTCTGCAAGAACGAACGTATAAGAAAGGTCGTAAGGAAGCAGAGAAAGCTGGGGTGCCAAAACAAAAAGAATATTAGTCGCAAGATAGAACAGACGAATTTGGATTGTAGGAAACGCCTGCCAGAAGTATGTTAGTAGTGATC